GTGGTTAAGAGAAAATTTTGTATCGCTTTATGAGGGTTAGCATTTATTTGTTTTTTCTTTTCTTTTATACTTCTGCAAAGCATATAACTTGCTTCTTGCAGCTTTCAGGCTGCTCCTTGTGAGAGGAGGCATTCTAGGACCAGTGCAGATGATACTGAGACAGATGAAGCATCCTTTTCTGGTCAAGATGATACAAGCAGTAATTTTGATATTCTTGAGTGGGCAAAGGTTTGTCTACTTTGCTTTCTTGGAAGTTTTCTATGTTGTGTCTGTGCCATCATCCTACGCCTAATGCTCTAACTTAACAAATCTCTATCAGTCCAAAAAAAATGGGTCGCTGCAAATTCTATGTGAGTATTACCAATTAAAATGCCCTGCAAGAGGTTCAACTATTACATTTCATCCTTTGGAGCATCTTCATCCGGTTGAATATCATAGACCTGATGAAGTGGCATTGCATACTCCTGGATCAGCAATTGACCGAAGATCATGCAGCACTAGTCTAGAACTCGTGGAGGTATCAACCTAGTTGTATCCGACAGTCGTATAATTTTTCTGCATTTCATAACATCTGGAAGTCTGTATATGACTTTCCCAAAACTCTTATCTTCCTTGGTTTTCAGGCACACACAGCACTCATGGCTGAGGAAGAAGCAGCTGCACTATCAACATGGGCTGTTGCTTCGTTATGTGGATCACTGCGGCTTGACAATGTGATTTCTTGCTTTTCCATATTTTCTTTTCATGACTTTGCGGTTTCTGTGATGCTGATTCATATGTACAAAATAGAAAAAAATAACACAATTATATTTATGATCTCCTAGTAATTTAATATTCCTGTTTTTTGGTAGTCTCATATGGTTTCCACAAGTGTTATATGCTGGAACTATGTGGACTCCGAGTTTCAATGTTTTTATGATAATGTTAATGCATTCTTTCTCTGGTTACTGCGATTGATTTTCTACTGATACTACTACTTCCTGCATTTGGACAGATTTAACTTAAATTCTGATATTTCTCTTTTCTTTTGCAGGTCTTGATGATCCTAGCAGGAGCACTGCTTGAGAAACAGATTGTATTTGTTTGCTCTAATTTGGTAAAGCACATACTCTGTGACATCATCTATTAAGTCTACTGTATTTTTTTTAATCTTCAAATATTGCATCGTCCTCTTTAATATAATTATCTGGGTTGTTTTGTCTTTTATGTGAACTACGTAGGGAATCTTAGCAGCATCAGTTCTATCAATTATCCCAGTAATCCGTCCCTTTCGGTGGCAGAGCCTTTTAATGCCGGTATTATCCTGTTTCTGTCTGGTGTTCACTGAAGATCTGTAAGTAACCCATGTAGGATTAATGGCTTGTCTTGATTTCCAGGCATTGCCAGATGATATGCTGGAATTTTTGGATGCCCCAGTCCCGTACATAGTGAGTTTGTAAACATGATTCCTACGTAATAAGATCCGTATCATAATTATTAATATTGCTTAACAAGCTATGCTCATTCTAGGTTGGGGTAAAGAACAAAACAAGCGAAGTTCAGTCGAAACTAACAAATGTTATCGTAGTGGATGTTCTTAAGAACCAGGTCAGTTTTTGCCTTTGCCCTCATTATTTTCTGTTAATGATCTCATGTTACCGGGGTTTTTTTATGGCCTTCTGTAGAAGCAAAATATCCTTCTTAGGAATCACATTTTTGGTAACAAAGCTCCATATATCCAGAGTCCCTTCTACATATGACATATTGATAGCCCCTTGGACAATTACTAGAACCTGCACATGTTCACAGTCTATATTCTAATGACATTTCAGGTTAAGTCACCAAGTATGCCTCAGCTGCCTCAGTATCGAGACTTATATAATGCACTAAGTCCTTATCACTCAAAGCTCGTTGGAGAAAGCTATCTAGCAAAGAAAAGACCAGTATATGAATGTACTGATGTGCAGGTTTCTGATATGCTCTCTGTGTATTTTTTTTTTTTATCATTGCATTTGCGATTTGCCATGTCATGTGCTATTTCTAACCATCTGTCATCAATTGTGTTTGATTATCCAAAGGTGGATGCTGCAAAAGGCTTCCTGGATGTCCTAAGGTCGTACCTGGATTCTCTTTGCTCTAGTCTGCAGTCACACACTATAACAAATGTGCAATCCAACAACGATAAGGTTATTATATGTAGTTTTAGAATAGAGAACATGTTTTGCTATCCTCTTTAGACGATTTATCAACTTTAGACTATATTACAATGTTAAGCTTGATTTTGTTCTCTCTATCTTTCAGGTATCACTTCTCCTAAAGGAAAGTTTCATCGACTCCTTTCCTAGTCGTCAGCGCCCGTTCATGAAGGTGAGAGCCCTTTGTATTCTCATTGGATATGCTTCATATTCAAATAGTTTCTATAAAGACTAGAACTTTGCTAACATACGGCTTTTCTATTATGATGCGAACAGCTATTCGTGGATACACAACTCTTTTCTGTACATACAGATCTTGTTCTTTCCTTCATTCAGAAGCTATAGGATAACTACATGTATACGTAAAACAAGTCTTGTTGGTGGGAACAGAACACAATACCTCGCGATAAAAGTGCCATCGATTCTGTATTTGTAACTTACTGTTTGAGAAAATTGTCTATGGAAAAAGACTTCCATAGATAAGGATTTGATAGAGAGAACCATCATCTCCTTTGTATCCTTCAAACACAAACACAGTTGGTGTTTTAACTCTTAAATCTTTAATAATAGCCTACGGATCTTTTATTTGTGCATAAGATGGAAATGTTAAAATACTATTTAAATGCACCATTTTGTACAAAGAATGATGTCACGTTTCACAGATTACTAGATATTCTATTTCTCTGACTAATAATATCCTACTCACACATCTCGCGGGCGAGGGTCTTAACGCTGTATCTAGGAGCATGGGCGGATCTACGTAGTGGAAGAGGGGGGCAGCTGCCCCCAGCAAAAAATCAATTTTTTTTGTATTTTCATTAATTTTAGTAAAGATTTATTAAGTCAAATGGTAGAATGAAGCAACTTGCCACCCCTTAAACCATGATCATATCCCACGATGCCCCTTCTTTTTTTTTTTTTTTTCAGTTTCGTTCCTTTTTTACTTATTTTATTCCCTAATCTTAGCATTAATTGTTTATCTTTCCTATTCTAGACTTAGTATTTCCAAAATCAATATTATTTTCATTTTGTTTAGATTGGTTTTTCTTTTCTTATTTAGCTTTCTCTTAAATATCTTTTTAATGTAGTATTTTTATCGGTTTATTTCGAAACAATGTTTATAATGTAGCAATATTAAAAAACTAAAAAAGTGTATCGGACTTTTAAAAGGTCTAACGTTGCAATTGACTCTGACCATACCATTCCTATATAATGAATTACTTTTTTATCTCGAAAAGTCGGTATAGTACTTTGCCCCCGGTAAAAATATTTTCTAGATCCGCCACTGAGTATCGTTTTAAACGTTAAATTCATATGTTGCATTGCATTTTTCTGAAACTTTGCAAATATTTTGCTGCAATATAAAATGTGATACTGTATTAATGTCGAATTGTAAGTGTGAACATTTTTTTAAGACTAAAACATTTAGAAATTGTGTATAACTAGATTAGGACCCACCCTATATGCGGACTTTTGATTTTTATGATCATATTAAATTGAACAAAAAAACCTAAATTAAAAATAATCGTTGTTAAATGTTATTTAGAACTTTTTGGACTCTTTTTACATAATCGTTAGAAACTCTCCCAAAACCAGCAGCCGCCGCTCAAAGAATTTTTCTAAAATGAAATGCATGCTTATGTATAAATACCTTTTTGCCGATGAATAAGACTCTTTAAGTAGACAACTATAAAAATGATAATACAATATATAAATTAGGCTGTTATTCTTGCTTAACGTAGTTTTCCCTATCACATATAGGGTGACTGAAACCAATATGGTCACTTTCAAAGGCGTTATAATATTTGTAGTTTATATTTTGGAAGCTTGTTAAAGTAAATAATTTGGAAGCAAATTTATGTTTATATTACCTTATGCACAAAAAAATTTTTTTAATCATAATTAGTTCAAAAAATGAAAGAATATGAATCTTTGCTAATAGTTTTCTTCTTCTCTACGAATGTGACCTAGAATTGTATTATAACCAAGATAGTTTTAGTCTTTAAACCTTGTTGAAGATTATTAGACTATTATAAGTAAAAAAAAAAAAAAGGTTAGGTTGTGTTTGATGAAGTTGATGAAAATGAGAATAAATGATGATCTAAAATTCTAACTTTGAGCATTATGATTTTTATCTTTAATTGTATTGATAAATATATATTTAATATTATGTATTCGATTTAAAATCTTTTAATAAAATGGTATGATGTATTTAATATATATGCTTTCTACACATACATGCTTCCCAAAATTATTTTTAAAATCGCTTTCGCATACCTGTTTCTAATCCCATACAATCTAAAAATAAATTTTTTTTTTAAATGAAAATAAGTTTTATTGATTTTTTCAATAAAAAATTTTTATTTGTTTTTAAAACAATTTTTACATTAAAAAAACTAGTTAGATTGATTTTTTCTCTTATAATTTACATGGCCACAGATTTGGTAATATGTCAAAAATATTAATAACCTACAATGACGCCAATGACTTAAAACAATCATCTAGTATCTCTTTATACGATGATTCCAAAAATGAGAAGAAAAAAAAATTCCTTACATTTATGACTTTGCCTGCCTATAAATGGATTATACATTGTATATTAAAGTGAAATTTCGATATACAACATTGTAAAGTGGGTTCGTATTACCAAGATTAATAACGCAAGTAGAATTTATGGGTAGGGTAGTTAAGCGGTGGTTAGGATATAATAAAAGCTCTATCATTTGCTCATGCATAAATTAATTTCACAAAATCATATCTATCAAAAATATTTGCATCATTTTCTTAAAGACAAAAAAAAAACATATCTATAACACTCAAATTGTGATTAATATTTGTTTTTCTTGGTCTCTTTAGTAAGTTAAGAAATTAGAAGCGTACAGACAAATACACGTATACTTTTGTTTTGTCCGTATAGAGAAATATGTAGTAGTAACGTAGATTTTTGCGATAGGCTCAACAAGTGAAGTCTCGGAGCCAATCTTCATCGTCGCCGCGATGATGACAAGAAGTGAAAGGTCTATTGAGATCGAGATTACCTTGAGCAGGAACCAAATCTCCCAAAATCTCGTTAGATGAAACAAGAGATGTAACGTTTCCACAGTCCAAACCATCAAAATCCATCAAATCCGGGAAGTGAAACTCAGAGTGGATCCTATCGAAATCGAAGTCGAGATCTCCCATCAACGAAGACCCACCTTGATCCTTCTCTTGTTCTTTCAGAGGTAGTGGACTGATACTACTAGTACTACTCTGCTTCTGAAGAGCGAGATCCGAGAAGAGAAGAGCCTTTGAGCACCTAATCGCCTTTGTACGTATAACACATACATTATTCTCGTTGTTTGTCGAATGTTTTATACGTTTTGATTGCTTGGTTTGAGTTTTGGGAAGTCTTTTGCGGAGGTTTGAGTTCCAATGATTCTTTATTTCATTGTCTGTTCGGCCTGGAAGCCTCCCAGCTATCAACGACCATCTGCATTAATTATTATGTCACACATATAACAAATAATTTTACTACAAAAGGAAAAATTCTATGTGTTTGGTGAAAAACCTGTTCCCAAGAAGATTATGGAGACGGATTATGAGTTCTTCTTCATCAGATGAGATGTTACCGCGCTTTATCCCCGGTCTTAAGTAGTTCTTCCACCGAAGTCTACAGCTTTTGCCACACCTCTTGAGACCTTTTATGTGTGCCAAGACAATTATTGTACGTAGGAGATATAAAGACGGATCGAATAGATAGATAGATTCTTACCAGCTTGGTTCGGGAGATTGCTCCATTTGCCTTCGCCGTGAGTCGTGATGTAATCTCTTAGGATCTTGTCTTCATGATCAGTCCAAGCTCCTCTGTTTAACTCTTCTCTCTTCACACTTGTAGTTGCTCTCTTTCCCATTCTCTTTTTCTCTCTCTTATGGTTGTGTGGTTGGTACAATTGTCTTTAGTGTTGTGTTGAGAATAGATTCTGTTTTTGTGTTTAGCTGAGTATCTTTATAGGGGAGTTGTTGCTATGTCCGTACATCAGTCGCTTTCTAAAACCTCTGTCATACACACTTTGAAATTGTAATGCTTTTTTCACCTGGTAATAATTAGCTTTGGTGAGATTAATTCTACCGAATTTTAACATCAAGAAAAGACTTTTTATAAACCAGGTGTGAATTGTGTTGAGAGAAGTCAAAAGTATTTCAAGCAAATACAAATGTATTACATTTTTCTTTTCTTTTTTTTTACTAAGAGACAAATGTATTACATTAAGTAAATTATTCCATTTCAATATGGTAAACGGTTATAGTGTCATTATACTCATGCTAATAGAAGGCTGATATTTTATCACTCTTAAATATACAACGAAACAAGATGACCTAATAATAGTAATTGGGTTTAGGACCTAGGGAAATAAGATTGCACCCTTTTCACCTCAGTGTGTATGAGTTTGATTTTTACTGGAACCAAATTGTTTTGCTTGGATCAGTTGGAGTTATGAGCTTCTGTTCAAATGTTTAATACATGATAAGTTTCGTTTAGTTCATGGTAAGTTTGCGGAAACCTCCTGCCATCGGCGTTGATTGTTAGTCCTAAATTTGTTTTTTGGGAAGTCGGCAACCGAATACCCGGTGCTAATCTTTGAAAATAAAAAAAATATATATATTATACGATTTGTAATTTTTTATCGGGTCGGGTACCAAATTTTTCGGATAACAATTTAACCCATCCGCTAAAAATGTACTTCAAAAATACTAGTATAAATTTCAAATTTGGTTTTGGGAAACTGGTGACGACTGAATACGCTAAATAAATATACCATATAATATTTTTGTTTATTCCCTATCTTAGTTACATATTATAATTTTATTCCCTCTCATAGTTACATAAAAATGTGTAAAAACCCCCTCAACTTTCCTAAAACATTTTAAAATAAATTATAAATTAATATAATGATTTATTTGGTTTATATTTGGTTTATTGATACTGAAAATGATTCTACTCTTTACCAAAAGATGAGGGTTTAAAAACTTCAAGAAAATAATTTTCTTAATTTTTTTACTTGTTTTACTCAATTTTGATTTTCTCATTAAACATAAGTTGTATTTTTATATTCAGTCCCTCTGTCTATTGTCGCTTGTTGATAGAAATGGGCCTTTAAAAGGCCGGGCCTTGCTCTTAACTTTATATAATAACCACACAATTTTATCATTTCACTCCTTAACGCACTCTCTTCACCGAATCTAGGGTTTTTGTCTCTAGCCTCCTCAAGCTTTGCAACAACAAACATGGCGACTCAGATCAGCAAGAAGAGAAAGGTGAAATCTTTTTCCCTCCCCTCTCTTTATCTCTCTATCAATGTATCGTTTCTTAAGCTTCACACAAAAAAAAACTTTTTTTTGTAGTTCGTAGCCGATGGTGTGTTTTACGCTGAGCTCAATGAGGTTCTAACAAGAGAGCTTGCTGAAGATGGTTACTCTGGCGTTGAGGTTCGTGTCACTCCTATGCGTACTGAGATCATCATTAGAGCCACTCGTACTCAAAACGTTCTCGGTATGTTGCTTCATTTTCGTTTAACCTTGCTCTGATTCGGATTTTTCTGTTTCTATGATATCGATTTGATGATACTCTGTTTTACTTTAGGTGAGAAGGGAAGGAGGATTAGGGAATTGACATCTCTTGTACAAAAGAGATTCAGATTTCCTCAGGACAGTGTTGAGCTTTATGCTGAGAAGGTTGCTAACAGAGGTCTTTGTGCTATTGCTCAGGCTGAGTCTCTTCGTTACAAGCTTCTTGGTGGTCTTGCCGTTCGTAGGTATGACATTTTTCTATTGCTGCATCCTTTTGTAGCTATCATTGAGGTGTTGATTTGTTAGATTGATGCTTAAGATTGTGTTAATGTAGTGAAGTATCCTGACTCAGTTTAATGTTTTTTTTTTTTTCTGTTTATTGATTTAAGCATGAAACAAATCGGAGATAATGGTACTTAGACTATTTGTTAATGTAGTTTATCTAGGTGGTGATCCAGTGTCGTTTTCTATCCATGGATGATTAACAAACTGCGTTAAAATAGTGTGTTTATGTAGTGAAGTATCCTGAATCAATTTGATGTATTTCTCTATGTATGGCTTAAAGCACGAGACAAATTGGAGTTTGCTATTTGTATGGTAGCGTAGACTATGTGTTAATGTAGTTAAGCCAATGTTGTTTTCTATCCATGGTTGATTAACAAACTGCATATCAAATAATGTGTATTAGTAAACTTGTCTTACTGCTGACCGTGCATCAGTCTTGGACTAGGTGCTAGCTGCGTCCTTTAGAACAAGTATAGTGAGCTATTCTTATTTACTACCTGCGATTATCACAATAGGCATTGGGTTTAAATTAGTTGCTTAGGTATTCAAATCATTGAACCTCTCAGGCTTCTTGTAAATTTGATAATATTCTTCAAAGTATGATTTGATGTTTTCGTCTCTTAAGCTCAGAATGTTGATAGTGCTGTGATCTTTTGTTGGATAGGGCTTGCTATGGTGTGTTGAGGTTTGTTATGGAGAGTGGAGCTAAAGGATGCGAAGTCAGTACAAGCCTCACTGTTTTCCGTTACATTTTTTCTGAATACCTCTATAGTGTGCTTACAAAATGTTTTGTAGGTCATTGTGAGTGGAAAACTCCGTGCTGCACGTGCTAAGTCGATGAAATTCAAGGATGGTTACATGGTTTCCTCAGGTCAGCCAACCAAGGAATACATTGATGCTGCAGTTAGGCATGTTCTTCTTAGACAGGTCAGTTCTTCATAGTGGAAACCTGTTGCTTGAACCACTTTATATCTAGAGAGCTCTTGTGTAACCCGAGTCTGGTTAATCGCATGTGCAGGGTGTGCTAGGACTCAAAGTGAAGATCATGCTTGACTGGGACCCCAAGGGCAAACTAGGACCGATGACACCATTGCCTGATGTTGTGATCATCCATACACCGAAAGAAGATGATGTTTACATCGCACCTGCTCAGGTTGTTGCTCCTACTGCTCTTGTACCGGAAGCCCCGTTAACAACCACAGATTATCCCGCAATGCCAGTTGCTTAGAGAGCCTTTTCGTTTTCTTGTTTAAAACCTAATGGGGATGGTTCTTTTTTTGGGACAGTACTAGTTTTCTTATGTTATTTTAAGATAATACTTTTTAAGTTCTTGTGGTTGAATTACAAATCAAGGATATGGGTGTATGTTTTTCGTATTCGTTTGTTAAAATCTTTTGACGATTTGCCTTTATCTTAAATTGTGGTTTTTAACATATTGGGTTTTAAAAATGTTATTAAGCCAAAACAATTATTTCTCTCAATTGATTTTACGTTTTTTGCAATGTCAAACCAATTGTAGTAGTCAAAAAAATTCCAATCCATTAGCCAAAAGAGTATATTAAGGAGTTTATTTTTTACATACATGCTAGATAAAATTCATCAAACATCATTAATAAAATTATATTAGAGGTCTGTAAAAAAATAAAAAAAAAAATCATATATTAGGGAATGGTATAAAATTAGTGCTAATTGGGTAGACTAGATGGTGTACCCGCGCAACGCACGGGATTTAATTTTAAACTTTTATACTTTGAGTATAAATATAATCAATTGAATTTTAAAAGATTTTACTTTACCCATATGAATTATCTTTCCAAAGTAGTAAAAAGTTTCTCACATTTTTCACTACAATATTTCTCGTTATCTTCTATGATTCACTCGTCGTCTCTCAACATCTACTCTCTTTTCTCCTTAGATCATTTCTATTTTCTCTTTCATATCATTCAATACTCAATTTTTTTTTTTAAGTTTCATGATCTTTTTATTAAAGTGAACATCAAAACAGAAATCTGAGGAAATGTTTATCATAAAGCTTTTTTTTTACCATGTTTTGGTGCATCTAAAATTGCTTTATAGAAAATAGATCTCATATATAGACTCATTCCTATTCATAAACATAGGATTTCAACGTGAAATTTTGTACTTTATCTTGACCATTTGAAAAATACAAAAATCTCTTTCTACATATATAATTTAATGTAAATTATGATTCTAGAAAGTATTCTTAATGTTGAGTTTTCTAAAATGTGACACTTACGAACTCATAAAAATTATTCTAATTTTAAAATACATTTATTTAAAAAAAAAAAACAAAATCCTTTTTATTTCTAATGAAAAACTCTTCTATCTACCATTACTATTCTAATTTCCAAATAGCATTCTCAAATATTATTATTACACAGATTTAATATTCGATAAGATTATTTTATTTTTATTTGTGATGTTTAGGATAGTTTTTTGTTTTATTGCAAATCACCTTAGTTTTTTTCAATCTATGTTAATTTTCTAAACACTAATTAATATTTAATTTTTCTTTTTTAGGTATTCACTTTTTAATTTAGAAAAAATTAATAATATAGAAAATATAATAATATTATATTATAATTATAAATAATAATATGTTCTAAATTCTTTTTATTTTTTAATCGGTACTCAAATTTTAAATGTCTATTTTAAAAAATGAATTGCTTTCTATTTTAAGTAAAAACCTTTAAATTTGGTATTTTTTAACTCTTATTTTCTTTACTCTACTAAATAATTGTAACTCTTAAAAAATAAATTTTGTACCATTAAAATATATGATAAGTTTCTTTTTTCGTATCTCTAACTATTTAAAAATATTTACTCCTTATATGTTAAAATATAATGATCTAATTTATATTTATTCAATCTCTATTCAAAATTTTCATATTTTAAGTTGTATATTTATTTTTTTCGTTTTTTCATAATATTTCATTAATTTTTGTCAATTATTATTTTTATTTAATGTGTGAATTAGGTTTAGTTTAATTGTTTTTGTTTTAATAAATGAAATATGTGGAGCCCACAAAAGAATAAATTATGATGACATGGATGCTGATGTGGACACCCTAGATGGAGAGAAGACTCTCTAATTATATATATAGATTTATGTCCAAAACTTTTTTTTTCTCTCTTCTTGCGAATAGAAGAGCAAACCTTACAATTGCACGTTTATAGCGTCAATAAGAGCACCTCCAAAGGGGGATCAAATTCTCAGGGGCTCCTCCAGCTCCCGAACTTTTCTCAATTGCTCCTGTTATAAAATATAATTTAATTTTGATTTTTTAAAATTCGAAAAAGAAGACAAAGTCCTCTTAACCCTTTAAAATATCACATATTCACGACCCAACCAAGCTAATTGGGTTGAAAAATACCCGAACCCTTTCTTATTGGGTCGATTCCAATTAAAACGGGTAAAAACACTTAGGGTTGAATAGATCGGGTAACAACACGGGGAAAACACTTAGGGTTCATTCTTTTGGAGAAAAATCTTTCGACGGCGATTTTGGTATAACTACAGATCGATCTA